TCCAAAAGCCCGACTTAAAATATCCCCTTCGTCGAAAAAAACTACTTCTAGCTCGTCTAAAAATATTCCCTCCGACCAAAAGGCTAACAAGATTCCCTTCATCTCCTCTAAAAAACTCCAATTGGTTCTTCAAAAATACTTTTAAAAATGTTCCCTTTCTCCCCCTTTAGCTCGACCCAAATAAAATGTCCCCTTCAAATTGCATTTCAAAATATTTTCCCATTTTTTTTTTGCTGGTTCATCCAACATTTAAAGAAAATTTATTTGGCCACACCTGGCCTTCAAATGAGAAATAATCGTTGTATATTTGGTAGCCCCAAAAACATTGCAGCATCCCAACCTCTTTCCCCCAACCCGTTCATTGCACTTCCATCGATGTGGCATGACATTCTTACCGCATACTAGCTATCATCATAAATCACTTATTGACTGACTTTTGGTTGTTGTGTGTTTATTTGTATGTCTATATGTTTGTGTACACAAGCTACTAAGCAACGAACATCCATCCATGCATTGAGGTGTTGTGCATCAGGTTCGAATACCTCAAAGCACACTTTTGCTTGTTTTGCGCTTCTATCAAATTGAGCTATCATATTGACAACGACGATCACACTATGGCTACATGACACACTTCACGTTTCGTTTCGGGACAGGTGAGTTTGAATATCAAGGGGTGAAAAGGGGGAGAATTGGAATTTAATTTTTTTAAGGTACCAAAATCGGAATTTATTTTCGATTTTTATTCAAATTTAATCCTTATGAAAATTGTAAACAATTTCCCAACATTGTTGCTTGATTTCTTTTGAAATCTCTCATAGATCACTTTCAAAGACGTCAATAGTTATGTGGCGCCCAATAGTCGCCATTGGCGATCATGTTGCTTATTTGTGATTCCTGTGATAAACAATAACAACATTTTTTTTCGGGGTATCCATTGACGGCAGTGTGGGACCGCCAAGTGTTCTTCAGGTACACCTAAAAGGCCCAAAATGTTTGTCACATAATATGTAATTTCTTAAAATAGGACAAGGACGTGGGATTTTGGGCGGCGAAAAAAAAAGTGTTTCACCATCTAAGTTCACCAGGACAAGTCATCTCTTCTCACTAAGTAAGAAAAATAGTTCGTATTTCTTCTTCCGAAACATCACTGTCTTGCTAAGGCCTAATTATCATTGATTGTCTCATACACCTTAAGAAATACCCCACCCCTCCATTACCAATGAAAGGCATACCAACCGCTCCTGCACATTGATAGAACCACAATTCAAAATTGGCCATAAAATTAAAAGCCACCACCTTCATTACCACCACCATTCTGTTTTTGTTTTTATTGTTTTTTTTTTGGCAAATTTCAAATGTGATCATCGTGCCTTTTTGCAATGCACCACAACAACAACCACGACAATAACAAGAATACCGATGCCGCCGATCATTTTGGTCGTACTTATTGCTTCATAAAAATACACTCGTTTCAATTTAAAATGGTAATAATTTTGGCGCCACCAACCAACACCGCAACACAGCAACAACAAATGATATTACGTAAATAATCAACAATAGCAACAACAACAAGTATCCGTAACAAGTGCAACACGAAAACAATATTTATTATTGTTTTTTTTTTAATTTATTTGAAAACAAGTAGAAGAAGAAGGGTAGGATAAATAGAATGTGGGAAAAACAAACTGTCTCCAAGTGATTGAATTTTGGGATCGGCTGCTAATCGTTGGTTGTTGTTGTGATTGTAAAGGGGCATCTGGTTTATCGAGGAATTCTATCCTCTATTTTGGCAAAGTGAAAGGTATTTGTGGCCTAATGCAGAAAATAACAAATCGATTGGGACATTTTTGCAAACAAATATTAGGTACCCTTAGTATACTATTTTGAATTTTAATGTTTAATTCCCGATGAAGGTCTAGTAAATACAGGGTGAAATGAAAAAACTGTAACTAACTTCAGATTGCTGTCATTTCTAAGCCACTCGTCCGACAGCTGTTTACAAGCATACAAAAGCATTTTTTTCAGAATTTTCCGCAAAAAAAAAGTTATTCGTGATGGAATTCAAGCGTCATAATGTGATTTCTATACATTTGGCTGGAAACCAACAAGTGGCTATCGTTAGATCACTCCAGCATATAAATATGAATATATTTTTTGTGTCTCGTACCATCGCTCGTTACCGTGATACTGGTAGCGTAGCCCGACGTCAAGGAAATGGACGGAAGAAAACGGCAACATCAGCAGAAATGGTTCGAAAAGTAAAGAAGCGACTTGATCGAAAGCCGTGTCGCAGTGGCCGAAAAATAGCTCGTGAGCTGAACATATTGCAATATTCAATTCGGCAAATATTGTGAAATGAGCTCGGAAAGAAAATAGACAAAAAGAGCTAAAGAGTTACTTCGCTTGGCCGACAGTGGAGAACTGCCGAATTTGTTTTCCTCCTATGAGACATCATTCATTGTCCAGCAGTTTGTAAACAAACAAAATGATCGTGTTTACTTGCCAAAGAGGTCTGCTGAACATGTGCACCTTCGGTTGGCCACCATAACTCAAGCACCGGCCATGGTGATGGTGTGGGCCGCCATAACAGCTGATGCTCGCTATCCGCTCGTATCAATCGAACGTGACATCAGAATAAATGCCGAATATTATCGCGAAAATATTCTGGAGGGTGTATTTAAGCCGTGGGCACGCAAACATTTTGGCCGCAGACCTTGGACATTCCAACAGGACTCAGCACGCGCCACCCAAGAATGCTCACAAAATGAGGTTCCTCGCTTCATTTCCATCGCACAAAATTTCTGGATACCAAACCATTGGACTATTGTTGGTTGGCACTAAAAAGACCAAAGTGCTCAAACAAGTGCTTCGCCGGGAATGGGCTAAAATGCCGCAGAGCAACATTTGGGCGGCATGTGACGATTTCATTGGCCATAATTCGTGCCAAAGGTGACCAATTCGAACAAATCTAAACTTATTCTAAAATTTGATGCTATTTCCGACATTTTTATACCCTTCACCACACTGTGGTACAGGGTATTATGTCTCTGTGCATATGTTTGTAACAGGCAAAAGGAAACGAGATAGACACATGGTTCCTTTTGAGAATATACATAGAATCACTTTCTAAGTCGATTTATGCATGTCCGTCCGTCTATCCGTTTGTCTGTCTGTCCATGTGTGGTGAGTTTCGGAAAAATCGTTTCAGATTTAGATACAGCTCCCATATATATTTTCATCCGATTTAAGGTAAATGGTGCACCAAAGTCCCTAAATATCCTTCGATTTGCTCAAAATTTGGCATAGCTTACTGAATAAAGCTTAGAATGATGTGGGGTGAGTTTCGGAAAAAACGTTTCAGATGTAGATATAGCTCCCATATATATTTTCGTCCGATTTAATTTAAATGGTGCAACAACGTCCCTGTATATCCTTCGATTTGCACGAAATTTGGCATAGCGTACTGAATTAAGTCTAGGAAGATGTGTGTTAAACTTCGTGAAAATCGGTTCAGATTTAGATGTAGCTCCCATATATATTTTCGTCCGATTTTAGGTAAATGGTGCACCAAAGTCCCTATTTATCCTTCGATTTGCACGAAATTTGACATGGCATAGTGAATTAAATTTGGAAATATGTGTGTTAAACTTCGTGAAAATCGGTTCAGATTTAGATATAGCTCCCACCTATATTTTCACCCGATTATAAGTAAATGGTGCACCAAAGTCCCTATATATCCTTCGATTTGCACGAAATTTCGATTTATAAGTAAATGAAGAACTCAAAATGTTCCCGAATGCACAAAACATACTGAAATAAGTGTAACCTAACATGTGGCAAGTTTCGATGAAATCGGTTTAGATTTCGGTATCTTTAATTTAATTTTCATAATTTTGTCCTCTATATATCTGACAAAACTCTATATCTGACCAAAATTTAGTATACGTTGCAGAATGACATGTTTAATTTTATGTTAATGCCCCTTAAAAAATGACACTCTGTTAGGATTCCCTCTGTTGAATATACCCAAAGTGGTGAAGGGTTTTTCAATAGTCGGCCCGTCCGACTTTACTACTTTCCTTACAGGTTTGCTTTCATTTAATAAAATTAAAAAAAAAATGATTTTGTTGCTGTTTTTATCTCACCTTGCATATCCTGCAATAGCCGTTAACAAAGATATAAAGTTTTATCTTCATGTACTTCCTCTAGGAACCCTTATTCTTTTTTTTAGAAAATCCGTAGAAGGTCTATCATTGGAAGGCTTTTTCCGATACCCCTACATTTCCTATGACCTGTATCAAGAGAATTAAGATTTAAGATATCTCTTGTAGAGCAGTAGAATCCCTAAAAAAGATATAAAGTTTTATCTTCATGTATTTCGGAGTTACCAGCCAAAAAGTTATCACACCTTAACACAAAAATTTGATCAATGATGAATTTTACATTAAGGTTCATAATATACTCGCCACGGACTTCCTTCCCTCCCATAAGCAAATCTTCCACCCTTTAACATCACGTTGCACAGTGTAATTGTGAATTTTGGGAACAAACTCTTAAAAATTGGAGCAGGTTTTTTATGTTTATTTATTTTTTTTTTTAAGCTGAACAATTTTCCATTCATTATAGACTCACATGGAAACAATTATTAAACTTCAAACTCAAATCAAACATATGTTGCGATTTTATCTATATATTTTTTTTTTTAATTTATATATTCAAACCGATTATTAATAATTAATAACAAACAACTTGTTCTACTCTACTCTAAGTCGATAAGATAAAAATCAAACACACATCACAATTCGCTGTCATAAAGTCTAAAGATAATTACCCAATAAACGATATTTAAAAAAACATATTTCGATTAATAATTTATATGTTAATTATATTGTATTGTTGTTATTTTTGGAAATGTATTTTTAAATATGACGACTAAATATAACATTTTTTATTTTCAAATGACTAAATTCTATCTTTCTTTCTCTCCTCTTTCTTTGCAGCCAGTCGCTGTACACCGAACTGGTGTGAGGTGGCCTATTGGGAATTGGGTCAACGTGTCGGTGATCGCTATCCCGCCGAAACACCAACCATAAATATCTATTCCGAAAAACCCTATAGCAGTGCTACGGGTGATATAGAAGGTATGTGTCTAAAGGATTTAATTGAGAAGCGTACAACACCATCGCCAACAGATGTACAAAATACGAGACAAAAAATAGGTTTAGGTGGGTTCCCAACTGCTCAGATTGTTAAGCCGATTTGTTTTATATTAATGTGTGTGTTTTTTCTCTTTCTTCTTCTTTGTTGGTGTTGGTGTTTATTTTGTGTGTGTGTGTGTTTAGGTGTTACTCTAAGTCAGGAGACTGATGGCGTTTGGCTATATAATCGTGCTACCGTGCCAATATTTGTCTATTCACCCACCTTAACGGATAGTTTGTCTCGTGTTTATCGAGTGGAGCCCGGTGATTGTCTTCGAGCCTTCGATATATACAAGTAAGTAAACAAGTTATATGATGATGATTTATTTATATTAGAAAAAAGTAGACCACAGATAGAATAGAATACAAAAATTAACTCTCTAAGACTGTCTAGTTTATATTCTACTTATAGTAGATATCTATTTAATTAAGATAAAAGGCTTTTTATACAGAAGATTGATATCATGTCGATATGAAGAACATGAATCCTTGTAGAATGTCTTCGGTCTTTCGAAGGACCTGTATATTCAAAATTACAATAAAATACCTATAGTACTTCCTAGTATAATTCAGATTTCTATTTTGGTCGAAATACTTCCTATGAAAGATCTTCAATCATTTGAAGATCCCATTTTTTATAATTGTTTTAATTTTACCCCTTAGTAATCCCCTTGTTTTTCTTCTTGTTCCCTCTTCATTTCAGGGCCCACACTCTCGTCTATTCCGATCAATTTCCAGGCGTTCAAACCGGACCCATCGACAAATTCAGTATGCGTATTAGCTTTGGCAAAGGTTGGGGTTTCTCCTATAAACGGCCCGATGTAACACGATGCCCGTGCTGGTTGGAGGTACTCTTTCGGCCACAGCGGTGACAACAATTCGTCAGGGCAATGATAAATGGTAATGGCAAATTGGTTAGCAAACCATTGGACTCTTCTTCGAAAGCATTGTTGATAAAGCGTGCGGGAGCAGCCACAGCAGCAACAGCTGGTCCAACAATATCCTCATCACAATGTGATAGACCAAGGATAGAAATGTTGGAAGAGAAAATAAAAATTGGCAGCACTTTAAGCAAAAAACAACAACAACAACAAAAGCAAACTATTAAATGGTCATTTCTTGTTAATGGCCATGGGCATTCCTCAGCAGCAGCAGCAGTAGTAGCATCATCTTCGTCGTCGTCATCATCTGCCTCGTCCACCTCAAGCTGTTCAACATGCAGCAGTAGGCTGATGCATATATTTCAACGGACCCTAGTCAGACTGATCAAAAGTTTACTCAATCATAGTCTGGTGGCAAAGTAAAGTGGTATTTTGTTTGGTACGGAACTTTGATGGAAAAATCGGGACTTCGGATTTTATGTTTCGTGGAATATCAACCACAATAACAGCAACAACAAAAATAAATCAAACAGCAACAACACAAATATATACATATATATAAATATTCCCAACTACGAAGCGAAATGAAAATCTTAGTGAACTTATTAACAACAACAACAAAATTGAAACAAACAACAAATAACTCAAGGACTGCAAATAAAACAAAAATATAAATAATAATTCTATTTTGTAAATTTAAAACAACAAACAACAAAAATAATATTAATTTAACTATTATTATAATAATATATTTTTTGTAATACAAACAACTACAAAAACGAAGAACTATAAATACCGAACAGACAAAGAAATTGAAGATACGAATAATATATATAAAGAATATATATATTTAACTATAATGTATGTCTGTTAAGGTAGCAGATTTTTTTCTGCCTTTCAACAACAAAAAATTAATTAAACAAAACAAAAAAAACGGTCAAACTGTTTGCAAACTGGAAATCCTGTGATCCGCCTTATTAGAAAATAGAAAAATATAAATATATTTTCAAAATTTATATAAAAAATAATGCTTAATATCCCCTTGTAAACAAAAAAAAAGAGAAACATAACCTTAACAAAAATTGCATGTCTTTAGGTATAAAAAGAGTTTTAGAATTTACTCTATAGATTTTTAGAAGAATAATTGATTTTTTGTATGGAGGTTATAATCGAATTTTATCACGTACGTATATATGTATGTAGATATTTAAAATACCTCTAATTTATCTGCTGACGTTATAACGTTTATAAACTCACTGAAAACTATTTTATGTCAACTATTGTAAAAATCTCAAACTCACTATTTTATAGAAATTTTCCGAAAATGGATTCAAAGAATGTCTAAAAGTCAAAGTCCCTAGAAGTTATCCAGCCTTTAAAATAGTTTGAAAAGGACGAACTCCAAATAATTTTTGTTTATCTATTGGTTTGCGAAGCATATCGACTGATAGTCGTATATATCAGCCGATATGGTCATTTTCTTTTTGAAGCCCTATAGAAAGTTTCGAGGTACAACTTATCTATTGGAGGTCTGTTGAAGGTCTATTTTTAATTAAAATTCCTAGAAAAACTTTAAAAATTGGTCTACTTTTTTAAGGCCGCAAGAATTCATATAGTCCGTAGAGGATTTAAAGTGGGAGACTACTTCCTAGTCATATATTCTGGATCCCAAAAACATATCCATATAACTTTTAGAAGTCCCTGTTCTTATTGAAAATAAACGGTCTTCAGACGTCAGAAACACCTTGGACGATATCTTTAATGGCGCTTATAAAATATTCATTATGTTTCCGGAGGATCTCCTTTTTTAGATGATCCTTTGGTGATCTTATATTAATAAAAGTATTCTTGGTTAATACATAGAACAACTTTATGAGAAATGTTTTGCAGATCTAATATAGACCACATTAGATCTGTATAAGTTTTTGAACCCCTAAAAAATTCCAAGGAAGACTTCCAGAGTACGTAAAGAGTACCCAGAGTACCTTTAGAACGCTTTTCGCATCCAGGAAATCCAAATAAGTTTTTGAGCCCCTAAAAGACTCCAAGGAAGGCTTCCGGAGTACCTAAAATATTCCCCGCCTCTGAAAACCTTTAGAACGACCTCTACAAGTTCTTTTGTTTTTTAAAGCCTTATAGATGATGGTCTTCAGAAACCCCATAAAAGTCATTAAGTTCCTTGGGAAATATTTTATGTGTTTTCAGAGAATGACCTTCAAAGTCCTCTTGAAGGTTGTTCAAATATAAAAAATCTATAAATTCTAGACTACCAACAAGATCTTTAGAAGGCCTTGAGTTTTCACAAATATTTTTTGCAAAAAAAAACAATCTAAAAAGTTAGGTTATGTCAATAAAACCGGGGACTATATTGTGAGACCGTAAGGCGAACTGGTACAGAAAACAAATGAAAATTTTGGCCCCTCCGCCATAAGTCGGGGTTGATTTTATAAAAAAAATGCGATATGAAAGCCACCCGGAGTACCTCAACAATTCAAATTTATCGATATTGTCTGTCCCACGGCTATATTTGTTTTTTTCCTCTACCTCGTATAATACTTTCAAGAACATCCATAGTTTGATAGACCTTCAAGATCTATTGGTACGATTTAGAGCGTGGACCTTGGAGTAGAACAACTCCAAAAAAGTCGACATCCGAAATACTTCTTCAATATATTGAACGATTTATAGAATCGCTCCAGTTACCTCCATGAACGTCCACAGACCTGCAAGATCTATTGGTACGTCGTAGCATAGCATCACCATTTCACGGCTCTCTAAATTTTTGGAGTAGAAAAGTGAAGCTACAATAATCCAAATGTCGGTAATATGGTGACTGCAGAATTTAAAAGCCAACATTTCTCCAAACTAACTGAAGTCCTTTAAAGGGTATTAGTATGTGTAGAAAAAATTTCTAAAAGGCTTTCCTTTAAGACCTCTAATTTTTTTTTCTGGAAACTTATGAAATAGATAGCTTTTAGGAAGAGATCTACCTATTGACGGTCGTTAAAATTTTTAGAAGTTCTTCCACCTTTAGAAGGCCTCGGAAGGTGCTCTTTTATAGGCTAACTATTTTAATATATAGAGGTTTTTTGAGATATAGTCGGAGAAGGTCTAAAAAAATGTTATATATCGACGGTATAGGCGTTATATCGCCAACCAATATTATATAATAAACAATTTATATACAATTTCAATTTTATAGTGGACTTTAACTATTATTGAAGACTAAAATAATTCATCTCAAGAGGTCAAATATCATTATAACCTAAATTAGTGTATTTTTTTATTGTATACATCTTGAATACCTTTTATTGAGCAAATTCTAAAACTCCTTTCATTTCCTAGAGCCATTAAAAAGCTAGCTTAAAAAAATAAATTTTAATTGAAGAAAATATATTATACAAAATTCATTAGACTGCACTTGAAAATATGCAAAGCTTTACACAATTAGAATATATACAATTTTATATTATAAAAAATCCAATTGAAATATAAGAAAACATTTGAGTGTTAACAGAAATTTTATGTTGAGTTAGAACAAGAAACAACAGACAAAAATAAGAAGTATTATCAAAATTCTGCTGGTCAGAATAATAATACTGGAAAAAAGCAAATGCACATAAAATACATTTTAAAGTTATAACGAGACATTTTTTCTAAAACTGAATAGAAATTATCATACACAAATTTATTTTTTATTTTATTTTATTTTTTTAATTTAAATTTTTAAAAATATTTTTTATATTCTATGGAAATTATTATATAAAATATAAAAATATTTTGAAATTATGATACTAAATGAAAGTTCAGAATATTTATATTCTCAAAAAATGATTTACGATTTTAGTTTCGCCCTTCAATTTTTTGATTTCAAAATATCTATTTTTTTTACAAAATTGATAATTTTGTTATTTTTTATTTGCATTCAGTTGCAATTTTATATTTATTTTTCAAAATTGTTTTTAAACGAGACTCACTTGCATTTCGCCGCAATATGAAATGCAACAAAATTAGAGTCATAATTTGTTTATGCATATATGAAAACGAAGAATGAAATTCTTAAAAGGTTTTAAAAAAACAAACATAGATTTCAGAACTTGTAAATCGATTTTCATCATGGTCATGTAGTGCGTATCAACAATGTTAAATCCAATGCAATACGCCACCTTGGTTAGTTTTGAATGACAAATTATAATTTTTTCACAAACAGCCGTGTTTGGATAAAGTGAACCCATATACGAGGGCAGTTCGGAAAGTTCTTAGGCTAGCACAAAAAAGCGCGGTATAAACAGAAAAAAGTTAAGTGTTTAGGAAACTTCGATCTCTGTTATGAACACATGTTAAATTTTGTTTCAATCTAGGCTAAGAACTTTTCGAACTGTCCTCGAATAGAGATAAAGATCTAACATGGCTGTTTTCTCAAAAGCTATATCATGGTCATATAGTGCGTATGAAAAATGTTATATACATTGCATTGGTATACGACACCTTGAACTCAATTTCTTTAGACGTAAAACTCTTAATTTAAAAACCCTCGAAAAAGCGGTTCCAAAGTCAACTCCTTAGCATAAGAAGCAAATAACAACCATATGATACCCTACACAACTTCCACGAAAATCTTACTTTATGTGGTTCTATATTCTGAGCTTGCCAATATTTCGCGATATTTGCACCCTCTTGACCGACTAAAGGTCAACAAATCTTACTAATAATCAGTACAGATTCCCTTCACGGTGGGTTGTGTTGTGATGTTCGGGTTTCAATTGTGGCCTATAGATCGACTCGAAAAACAAAAAAAAAAGTTTCGGTCTAATTCATCCCAAAATTATTATCTGATCATCACCGAAAATTATAGCCGTTGTACTTGACCATACCTGGATCCTCATGGAAAATTTAAAAGCGATCAGCGCTATATTTCCGCCCTCTAGTGTGGTATTGGGTTACTAAATACTATATGAATACGTAAGCACCTGCAAATATTTAAGTGTAACTCCCACATCCGAGCACATACAAAAATATAATTGGTATCAA